CAAAAGGTGATGTACTTCTAGTTGTTCACTAAAAAAGGGCTGATATGCTCATAGTCAAAATGTCCACAGTGTTTCAAAGCATGAGGACATGTAGACTTTACACTCTGTAACCAAACCCACAAGGTTTCTGTAACCGCAAGATAATGTTTTGTTAGCCTAAACCTGGAACATGGGGGGGCAACGGAAATTCACAGCATTTAGAACACATTTTTATTATATAGGCTTTTATGTTTCATTTCCCCTTGTTTTGTTTTCATGGATTTCAGTCCATTCAGACTAATTTCCACAAGAAGGAAGGTTTGTTCTGCAAATGAATCCAAACCCTAGTATAGTTTTATAAGCTGGTGAAACAACAGAAAAAGACGTCAAATTTTCAAAGTGCAAAACTGCAGCAGAACTTACAGTAATGCACTACACTCACATGTGCAAATTCAGATGCCTACTGTCTGTTGTTAATGCTTCATTTCAGGCACTATGAAACAGGCTGAGGATGACAGTCTGCACTGGAAGTCCCTTCCAGGCTGATAGACATTCAATTAATCTAAGTCATCATCACTTTGGTCCATTTGTTGTTCAGACACAACTATAACCATGTATAATCTTTCTGAATCAACAATGTTCTAGTAGTGCTGCTCTAACCCTCATCAACAATGTTCTAGTAGTGCTGCTCTTTGTCATTTGCTTAAAAACATTCATGCACCACATTAATCATAATAATCCTGCTTTTCTTGTGTTGAATATAAATTGTTTTGTGTTTGAGAAGTTGCTGATGCAAGGATTTTGTTTTTCGCTGCCTCAGTTTCGCCAAATGCACAATGTTTTCTTTTCACTTGAGAGAAAAAACATTTGCAGTGATGATGTGCATAACTGTGTTTATTTCAGTAAAGTGTGTAGTTCGCTTCCGTGCAACATTATAATGCATAGTGTGGTATATTACCAAGGGAGCTGATATTTTGACGTGCAACCTGCTCACACCTCACTTTAAGAGGAAAATATAAAAATGTACTTTTTTCTTTGGGGAGAGGTGGAAAATGTTAATATATTTTGAATGACAAAAACAAAGTGTGGCACTGTAGGTTGTGTATTGTGCGTGGGCTCCATGTGTGTCAAATGCCAGAAGGAATAGCAGGAGGTGACGTTGTTTTATTTGGATATGAACTAGAACTGCAGGAACACACCATTCTTCATTTATAGTAGGTGAAATATCCGTAATGTTGTTCTTAATATGTACTTAAAGTCTTCCAACAGAATAAAGGAAGATAATAAGAAAATAGTTTAGCACTGCAGGTCATCGACAGGTTTTTATCCCTCCACACCGACGACAGACGTTATGTTTACTATTTGTCCCTCTGTCTGTGTGTCCATTCATCTCAGTCAGTATCTCACGACGCCTTGAAGGGATTTCTTCAAATTAAATACATTTAATTCCTTTATTAAATTCCTTCAAAGCAATACCAAAATGTGAACGTACTCCTGCTTTCAAAATAAATGGAATTAATAATTGTCATCAGCAAAATGCATTTAATGTAACAGTTAACACACTCATAATGAAGAATTTCAGTATTATATTATTAGGTGTAATATTGGAATATTGTTACTGATGCATTAATAGGTAAGTAGCAGCTTGTTGAGGTGGATCTAAAGTTGACTGTTGGGTATTTTACAGCATCATACTTTATAGGCTGGTCATATGTTGTTTATGTAACATCAAAAATACCAACCTATACATAACGCTCTGCCAAATTGTTAAGTAAAATGTATATATTTCTAGTGATGTAGAAATATAAAATGGAAGTACTTCTTTCAAATTTCTAAAAAATATCATTATGCTTTGGTAAATGTACGTAGTTTTATCTAGCTTCGGAAACTATTAACAGTCTTCACCTTATAGTTTGTGGCATTTGGTTGTGATGTTTGGCGATGCCACATTGAGTGTAGAAATAGTACAGCTTTGACAAGAATTGGGAGTGAGCAGGGTAATGCTCATTTGTTCTGAGGAAAGACTTTGCTGACATTGAAATATTCAGATTTTTGTCCAGATGTTCCAAAGTAATGCTGCCCTCCCAGTGTGGTTTTGATTAGACATGAAGTGACGATGTGTGTTCAACAGAACCGAACACTGTAGGCCACTGCTTATTAGGAAATGCATTTTCAGTAAAAATGGAATGACAGGAAAGATCCATCTACAGGGCGGCGGTGGTCTGCTCAAGTCAGTTTTCCTAAGAAGAGATTGCATTGGTGTAAACCAACAGGAAGTGATTTATTAATTAATTGGTTTGATACTGTATATCGTAGCTAAGTACCTTTTTGGGTGGAGGCTTGAACTACAGATTTGTTTAACTTTTTGAAGCTTTACAGAAACTTGAACAATGAGCTATCTTTGCATACAACTCAAGTGTGAGGCCCATTGTTCAGTACAGCCATTTAACTTGTTTGCTATGGCAAATGGGTTCACTTGGGTGACAGTGGTGATGACAGACCAATCACTGATTGTCTGACTTCAAGACAGGCCACAAGTTCTTCCACTTGGTGTGAAACACTTAGTCTTTTTTCCCCCAGCACAAAGAAAGATGTGTTATGCAATTCTTTGCAATGATGAAGTAGTGGATCAATGCTTGTGACATGTTTGCTGTGAAATGAACTGTTCCTTGTAAATACCCTGACAGCAGTTATTATGTTATTATTCATTTAAAGCAAGTGGAAAATGTTCCTTTTTAAAAGCAATTTAATGATGTAAATTATAGTTTTTGCTTATATTTGTACACTTACCATTGTGAAAGAATGGGAGGACATGCGTCGTCTTGGCAGACTAACATTAATGTCATCATTATAATGGCATGAATACAAGTGATGCATGATGAAAGTGTTTTCTTTTTCTAGTCTCAACTCAAGTATCCATCTCCAAAACACACAAAAATACTTAAAATGTAGTTTCCAGTTCACCTTTACCAAAAGAAAATGTACATGAACCCTGGGTAGAAGATACACAACAGATCAAGCCCCACATCTGCACCTACCACCTTTTTACTGCAAGCAAACGTCCCTTTCTTTTTAAACAATCTTATCTTATAAATGGCAAATAGTTAATGTCAAGAGTATTTCTCTCGGGGTTTGAATTGCTTTGCATTACAAGGTCTTTTTGCACCTTAACCATCCTGCTATAGGGCAGGTAGACATTTTACAATACCGAACAGAAAAATAATTTGAACTTTACTATTTCAATGACTCCAGGAGTGACGCTTTTAAAACAATTAATACCATACATTTTCCTTTATACCACATGGGAGCCACTTGCCACAGAGAGAACTGATGGGTAATTCACACTTGTGCTTGGTCTGAAGTGTGTGTTGTATTTTAATTTCACCTTATAGCAAGGGAGAAACTGGAAGAATATTAAGTGTCTCTTAATGCAGCAGTGCATCTGTATTGTATAAGAAAAAGGCCCTAGTCTGAATTTAACAGGGACAATGGACTGTTAGCATTTGCACCAATTAAGTATTAAATTCTTCTTCACCTAAATTTGAGCTGCGATCTCAGTGTTGTTAGACAGAGATAAAAATACACATCTCCTCTCCAGCCAGGTCGCACTGCGAAATAATTGTTGCCCTCCATTTTCACGCCTTCACAGTTTCCACTTGGAAAGTTTGACACAAACTGCACCGTAACCGAATCCTGAGAGCCAATAACTCACCTCTGTTGCTGTTAGTCAGGTCGGGACTTTTCTTTATCTGCCACAGTTTCCTTCATTGCATCAGTCTGTCAGGCGACTTTGTGGAATTAAAGCCATGGAGCCCTTTTGACATGTGTCCATTAGGAGCACAGCAATATGGGTCGAGTCACAGACCAAAAAATAGGTTGTTGTCCTGAATTGAAACCCCGAGAGGGTGCTGTGGATTGGATTCCTTCCAGCAATCAAACACCATGCTACCTCAGACATCACTGATCTTGATTAAATTTGAAAGGATGATCTGGATCTTTTAGCTTAAAAGAACTTTGCCCCCCAGTCACTCCTAGCTGAGGACTCCATAAATATGGATACTCTGTTTCATTCCTGTTTCCTTGGTTAAGTATTTTGTCAGTTATCTTTATATAGTTGATCTCATTAATCATGCTTGCAAAGATGAGATCTCCTACTTTGATTCTGTGAGAGTTGATAATCACTTCGTTGACAAATTCAAATGTGCAGTATGTCAGGACATCTGTCATTTGTTTGTGTTGATAAATTCCTTCAGATGGAATCAGATGTCACATTTTGACTTGTGATAGATCAAAACAGGAATTGTACTTATATGGTTTTTCCACTGAAAATGTTGTTTATAGTATGGGACTGAACCAAAAGCAGTAAGATGCACTGTATAAGGACTGACTAGTACTAGAGTAGTCAGTACGTCGCCTAATGAATGTCACTTTGTGTTGTCACTGCTGCTAAAATTCTGTATTTAGTCTTTGGTAATAATTTTTTGAATAAGGTTTTAGGGGCTACCATGAACTCATCAGGCTGAATCGAGTGATTAATGACACATTTTTGTGTATTAGAAAGTTTGGTGAATTTGATTTGGAACAAACTTCAAAGAAAATGTGAGGCTTAATGTAAGAATACAAATATGTTCTAGTATTAGGTCCGACTGACTTGTATCTGCATTGCTCACACTGAGAAACATTGTATTTGCATGGATTTCTGAGATAAATAGGAACTGCCAAGATGATAGGTGGTGGATTCCAGGGGCCCACAGCTGGAAGGGATTCAGTACACTCATGCTCACAGTATATAGACCCTGGGACTGCAGCTATTTTTCCCTAAAATGTCCCCCTATGACTTCACGGCATGTGGCATGTTATAAATAACCCAATAAAGTAATGTAAAACATAAACACGTTTGGTTTGCTTTTCCTTTTTGTCTGTATTTCACCAACAGCTTCCAGCAGTGAGGTTGGAGAGAAATGATGCGATGGGGGTCCTCAGCGCAGAGCAGGCACAGTGAACGAGCGGCGAGCGGGAGCGCGCGTATAGGAAGGAAAGGAAGGAAAGAGCTGAAGCAGATCAGTCGCCAGCGGAGCCCAAGACGGCGGATGAACGGAGCCGAACGTGTGTGTCGCCCTTGACGTTTTTACAGCAGCTAAACGCGGCGTCCGGCAGCCCCACAATGATGCTCAAACTCGTCCAAATCCTCGGGGTTTTCGTCTGCGGCAGTCAAGGTAGGGATGCGTGCGTGAGTTTGTGTAACCCTCGAGCTTGGTGACTTTGTGGACAACTTGAGTGCATTTGCCATCGTGATCTGCAGAGCTGCTGGAGAGAGAGCTGGGAGAGAGAGAGCTAGAGTAAGAGCGGGAGTGAGAGAGAGAGGGTGGATTGTTTAACTGGATGTTGTTTTGTAGTTGAAGCACGTCTGGCAGGAGCCAGAACGCTTTCTTACTGAAAAGGGGGATTATGATGGGGTCCTGTGTTTAGGTGGGTGAGGCGTTGAGATATACACTCTGCACTCCCCATATTTTAAAAAGCTGCTGTCTTTATCATATAACACGTCTTACGCACGAGTTTGTTGAAAATATTTTAGGAGCTGCGTTGTTTTGGTGAATGGAGCTTATTAGCAAAGAGATGTGTCCTTCCTTGTTTAATCGTAAAGAATCCGTCATGTCTCTCAACTTCATCTGGCGTCGTACATGGATGGAGACGTTTATTTCAGGTCCACATTCTTAATCACATCTGTGTAGACCGCTGTCTTTTTAGTTTTCACCCATTCTCCATTCCACGCACTCTTGCTGTTTACTGTGGATAAATATAGATTGAAGACTGCCTGGTGAAACATCCTTCCGTGGCTGCATGTTTTGCGCAGACTGTGCGGGATAATATCAGACCGTGATGCGGTAACAGGGTCTGAAGTGCTCTGGAAAGTTTGGAAATATGGGCTGCATTTGTGACTTCAGAGTGACACGTCACCGTTAATTGGGTTTCATGTGCCGGGCGCGCTTGGTGTGGAGGTGTGATGTTTGTTAGTGGTCGCGCCCGCGTGTATAAGTTGCACGCGCGGAGTTAAATGAAGACATTTACCGAGTGACTGCAGCTAAAGTGCATCGATTCAAAGTGTTTGCTCAGTCGCCTTTTCGTGTGTGTTGCTTAATTGCGCTCTGGCCAGCGATGGGGCCACCTGGTCGCCGAGAGCTGGGCCCTGCGTGCCCTGCGAAAAATGCCAAATTCTTGTAGTTTTGTTTATGTCATTTATTGTTGATCCATTTCTGCTTGTAGGATATTGTTCTTTTCTTTCAGTAGGTTACAACTGTAAATACTGTCGGTGTTACAAAAACGGTCTCTAGACCATAATCACAAAAGAAGTTGTCCCTGAACATTTTTGCAGCGTGGCAGCACTGGGTTCCTTGCGCACAACGGCAGGTGGGGGTAGAGCGCTGCAAAGTGGTGCCAAGGCTGAACCCATGCGCCACTGGTTGTTAAAGCATGCTGCATTTCATTCATTCATCTGCGGAGGTCCTTCAGAGTTGTGGGTCTTGACGGGTCCCCAAGCAAAAATGGAGAATCAGAGATAGGTTTTTACTATATGGTACACATAACCACAGTTTGAGGAGGAGTAAAAATGACTACGAATTTTAATAACATGGCCCTTTGTCACTGCTGAGGCGTAATTTTGAGACTTGTACCAATTGTGGCCCTGCAGTCGCCTTGTTATATGGATATTTATGGGACAAAACTGCATCAAGTGGAAGCCCACATGGATTAATATATGTTTTGGTGGTTTGTTTCATGAAAACAGTCACAGATGCTCAGTATTTCAAGTCCAGAGGCACAGAGTCTGATCATCAACATTTTAAAAGCACTGTGGTTTATTGGCAGTTTATAGCTCCACCGTTTCAATCAATAGACACTTAGAAACGTATGATAGGAAGCCAGCTGGGGAGGAATTACCAGTGAGAGATGTGGCCTACTGTTCATAAGCTTTAGCTGGGCAATTCATTGCTTTGTTACTTTCCTTTTGTTGCAGTTATATTACATCAGCCTACCAACCAATTTCCATTCTTATCACACTTTTCATGATAGCAAAGTCCACACAGATTGACCTGTTAAGTAATGCAGAGAACCTCCTGTAATGTGAATAATAAAGATAGTTCTGAGTAGAAGGCTTTGTACTAGAGGCTGAGTAGGGCTCTCTGTTCTTGGTGTCTTTTATCACTGTGGGGCCTTGAAGCAGATAGGGCTAGAACTAGAAATATGTTTTATTCGTTTTCACCAGTTCATGAAGACAGCTTGATTTTGTGACAGGAATCAGCTCGGTCTACAACATCACTGACTCTGCAGATATCCTCTGTTCTACCCCCTCTGGCTCCTGTATGAAAACATTTGCTTTTGAAGTCCCTGCACACTATCTACCCTGCTCTTGAGTACACATCCTTGAAGGTTTATGTATTTGGCTTTTACTGATGCTTATAATGAATTATATGCTTGCTTGGACTTACCCAGGACTCACCATATGATGTTAAGTGGCATAATTAAGAAATTTTCTGCATTTCATGGGTAATGTCAGTGGCTCGAGGTTTCAAAGATTTATGCTCCTGTGCTTAAGTGTGTCCCATTGTATCCTGAGCCCAGGCTTAAGGCTTGAGGCTTGCTTTTATCCTGTATTTCTGGTTCATGTCCGGGCTGAGATCAGTGTATATAAATGCAAGGACACACATTATACCCATACATGGAGACTGTAGTCAGCCTCAAACAGCACTTTCTTCCTCCTTTTCAGAAAAATTCACTCCACTACTGTTGCAGGAAGCTTTTTTCTTTCTTTCTTCTTTCTAACATTTCCTGCCATACTTGACATTGGACCAATGCTCCAAACAATGCAACACCAGTGACAAACTAGTATTAAAGACATGCAAAGCTGTTGACAAATGGCCTGTGTCTTAGTCATTCAAGGTGGCACTGATTGCAGTATTTGATTAATAGTCTAGGACAGAGAGCACATATATAGAGAGCCAATGTTTATATGAAAATGGAATCTTCCCCTCAAGGCAGCTGCATCTAAGAAATCAGTTTAAGGAATGACTAGAGTCAGCAGGCCTCTGGATTGTACAAAGGGTAATCTCAGTGTTATGGATATGCCTTTTATTTGCCTGCAAGCTTTTGATTTCTCGTGTGTGCCCTTTAGCTCTCTAGCTGCCTTAGCACTGAATTTGTACTCTGAATATAAGACAGGAGGAGTGTTATATTCTTAACACCTGGATATATTGGGAAATCACTGCCAAGCATCTGTGCTGCGGGACATATTGTCGGCTTGCTGAGAATGAAATGGCAAAAGTGAAAGAAAATGAGCAGCTGTTCTGAGAATTGACATTGCCATATTTTTCCAATTCCTACCTGCATACTGTATGTTCAGCCTGTTTCCAAACTCACAGACTGTACAACTATTAAACTATTAAAGAGTAGGGTGTGTGACTACAACTTTACTCATTCCTGGTTTCATCATTTCCAGGAGTTGTATTGTAGTTTGGTTTAGTTTATTCCTTTAAAAAAACTTTATCAGCTATACATAAGCATGGCTTACTGAACATGGCTACCCGGCACCAGCAGAGGGTCCCCTGGACTAGAGCCTCTGTTTGACGTGAATGCTTCTTGTTGGAAAGTCAATCACTTAACTACAAATATAGTTACACAACCACAACCAGACACAAAAAGACCACAAAGACACACAATACAAATAGATACAAAACCCACAGAACACAGACAACAAATGACTAGAGCTTTATGTTGCCCAGGGCCCTTTGTCTCATAATAACGTTTAGAGGTTAGCCTTAGTGTAGCTTCTTAAATAAAACAAACCACCTTGCTCAAGGCTTTGTGCACAAGCTGTACAGTCATGGACTCATTTAACAGGATTGGTATCTGGGGTTAAGAAACCTGTGTGCCAAATATATTTACACTGTCATTTTGTCTTGTAATGACACATTTTTGGCTTTTAAGTAACTTAGGCAATAGCAGACACACTGAGAGATGAGATGATGGATCAGCAGCCAGCTACACTATGTGAACATCTGGCATATTTTGAAAAATCTCGAGTTAATTTCAATGCGTGGGGCAAAAAAACAACATGTTCAAAAATGCACTCTGTCAACCTCAGTCTATTTTCACACAAATTACCTATTATTATCATGGAAGTGAACTAATGTTCTCCTCGGGGAGTCTCTCCAAACCAGTAGCCAAGAAAATATAGATAGAGTAAGCAGTTGGAGTTCTCTTTATTCTGAGTTTCAGATAGGAAGAATAGGAAAGAATAGAGCGAGCAACAAAAAATGTATACATAAAGAAGAATGAAATAAGAGATTATGTTTAAAAATTCATTCAAGTGAATCTGATTGAATTTAGTTAAATTGCATTGCCAGAGATTGAATCAAACTTAATGGAGTCGCACTGTGCCAAAATTAATAAAATGTAATTGAACCCTGTCGAGATGGAATCAAATTAGGCCAGAGTGACGTGATTGGAGGAGGCAGTTGCTACATGCTGCCATGTGTTACTGTGGGTTTGTCTACTGTTTTACATCAGTTTGGTGCTAGCCAACCAGGAGACCCTTTGGCTCCTGCTTATGTGTGTCCTGCCAGTCTAACTAGCAGGCTAATAGGCAGAGCCAGGATGGCAGGGTGGCAACAGAATGAGTGGGCACACTGTCTGATGGACAGATGGATGGAGAGAAAGTGGTTGCACCATTTTTCTCTTTCTCTCCTGTTGCTCACTTTATATCTGTAACTTACTGCATATAGTCACATATGCACACATCCACACACTTCACAGTCTGGCCCTCCAAAGCACATCCTCTCATGGGGGACAGCACTGTTGGTCTGGGGCTTACTTTAGGGCTTGTGCACCGACGGGCGTGATGAAATGAAGAACAGAGGGATCCACAGGAACTGAGGAGTTTATTAACACATTATATAGATGCAGTTTATACCCAAAAATTACAAAACCAAGTAGAGAAACAACCCAGCATGCAACACTAATAGATAATATATTTACTAATGATATTGATAGCAAAATGACAAGTGGATTACTTATAAATGATATTAGTGATCATCTACCAGTATTTGTGGTTTATGACTGCCAGTATAGAAAAGAAAGGCCAAAAACAAATCTTTTCTATAGGAGGGTGATGAACGAACATGCTGTAAGGAGGCTAAAAGAGGATTTTATGGGGCAAGACTGG